CCCATGCTCTGGCTCGTGGAGCGCAGGGTGCAGGCTGCTGGTGGTGGCACAGGAGCTGGTCACTTCTCACCCCCATTGGAGATGAGGTGTCCCCAGCACAGGCAGGGTGGGCTGTGGCCCTGTGCTCAGCTCTTGCCATCCCTCAGGGGGGATGCAGGTGACTTCCAGCTTTGGGAAGTTCATGGAAGGCTTGTGTGATTTAGTACATGATTTTAGGGCCTCTATTTTACTTACAGAGTATAAGAAGGTGGTTTCCTTACATTCTGCCTGTCCTTAAGGCAGGTGAGGTCCATACTTCCCACCAAGTAGAGAGTGACAGGAACCTAAACAATTGCCTGAGTTAAGCCATTCTAGGAGGAAATAGGTGTTTGCCTTCAGGAATTCTCTCCTGTGTGTCATGGGGCCCCTAGGAGAGCTGAAATGGCTGCTGTGCCTCGGGGGGTGACACTCAGGGGGGTAGTTCTCTGGCACATTATGGGCCACCATCAGCCCTCGCCATTCTCTCTTGGGGCATCTCATCTGTCCTGGTCTGCCCTTCATCTAAAGGTAAGGGCAGTTTGGAATGACCTTCTCCAAGGGGAGGAAGTGTGTTAACACCTCCAGTAACATCCTGGGTCCTCTGTCACCCCATGCTGAGCTTCGTGTCACATTATGGGGCACTGCCACAGCTCCCTTGGCCTGTGTACAGTCAGTGTTTGGGGCGTTGGGGCTCTGCTGCTGTTTCCCCTCTGCACTGTGTGTGGATGGCAGAGACTGGCTGTTGCTCAGGGGCAGTGCTGACCTGAAACAGAGCTTTCTGGGAACATCAGCTCTCCCAGCAGCACTCATGGAAACCCAGCACACCACATCCCAGGGCTCACTGGCCTGGGGAGGAACCTCTGCAGACAGGCTGATGAGCACACGTCTGCTCAACAAGCACATGGTGGAGCAGCAAGGATCAGGGATCTGCTTCCTCCAAGAAACCCTCAGCAGCTCCTCACTGCCCGAGGCTGGGGTGCATGTGAAGGGGGGAACCTGCAGCAGCTCTCTGGCACAGAGCACCTTGTGATCCAGGCTGAAAGGATTTCTGCTCCGAGGTAAAGCTGCATGGGGACACCTCTGAGAAGAAGCAGAGCAGACAGTGTCCTGGTGGTTGAAACCTCTTCGGTTTGGCTCGTACATTCCCACGTTTCCTCTGAGCAAGACAGTGAGTAAGTGGGATCGTGGTGTGGGCTGTAGCTGTTACTGATGGAGAACGTGCAGCTGGATTGAGGGCTGAGCAGAGGGAATTGTGACAGGCAGGACATGCAGGAGCTCTGCCGTGGTGCTGGGAGAGCTGATCCCTGGGGATCCCCGTGTCCAGGCGTTGGGATCTGCCAGCAGACACCATCCTTTGCTCATTTTCATAGCGAGCTGGCTCTGACTGTGCTGCTTTCATGTGCTGCTTGATGCTCATTAGCAGACACACATATGGGCTGCAGACTTTAATGGGATGCCTTGATCTGGGGAGGGCACGTTCTCCTTCACAGATGTGACCTGCAGCGCACATGTATTGTTTCAGTTGGATTGATGACCCCTGGAGAGCTGAAATGCTAATGGGGCCCAAAGCAGGCTTCAGTTAGAGACAAACAGAAACTCTGTCTTCATTTAAATTCCAGGCAAAAGATGAACATAGATTCTCAACAGGATAAGAATCCAAACACAAAGGTGCAGACATGCACTGTTCACAGCTATGACCCCACGGGTGTGTGGAGTGTTTGGTTTAGAGTAACTATTTTGGAAGGTTAAGCCATCAGAGCCCAAATCTCACATCCTGTTTGCAAGTGCTATCTCCCTTTGGCACAAGTGTGTGGTAAGGAGCTTTCCAAAGGCAAGCAGGAGTGATAGACCATTGCCCCAAGTAGGCATTTTCACAGCTGGGTTCCAGGAGTCATGCAGCTTGACAGTCCTTGGCCCTTGTTTAGCTCACAGATGCAATTACAAACCCATGGTGTTTCTCATTAAGGATCCTCCTTTTGTTTCTTCCTTCAAGCAGGTCTGAGGTATGTTACAGGGAGGAACTTGGTCCCTTCAGTGGGTGATCCCTCCAGTCTGGGGGAGCACAGTCTGCTTTGCACAGTGGGGAGGGAACAGGGAAGAGAATCACGGAATCCCAGACTGGCTTGGGTTGGAAAGGACCATAGGATCATCCAGTTCCAGGGACACCTTCCACTAGAGCAGGTTGCTCCAAGCCCCTGTGTCCAACGTGGCCTTGAACACTGCCAGGGATGGGGCAGCCACAGCTTCTCTGGGCACCCTGTGCCAGCGCCTCAGCACCCTCCCAGGGAAGAGCTTCTGCCCAAGAGCTCATCTCATCTCCCCTCTGGCAGGTTAAAACCATTAAGAAATGGCTGATAGTGAACAGAGAAAGAAGAAAGGCTGAACTGCTCTATTGACTCTGCCTTTTCTTAGTGTTTAGAGAAGTCTTTCTGCTGCTTCTTGCAAAATAAGTCACTAGAACTGTGAGTCGTAAGTAACTGCAGTTCTAGTGGGGGGGTGGGTGGGGGGGTGGGAGGTGTCTTCATATGGTGGTTGGGTCCCAACAGAATGACTCTCAGTAAGTTTTTTTTTTGGCAGCTGCCTCAGAGTTTACTGCTCCTGTTGGGACTGTGCAGCTCAGCACGGTGCTGCGAGGAGCAGAGCAGCCTCGGCTGCTGCAGAGCAACTGAGAGGAGGAGGATTAAAACCAGGACCACGATTAATAGTGAGAATTGAAACCAGCTGAGCAGAGGGAGGTTTCTTCTTTAAACTAAAATAGTCAAGTACAGCTGATCTCTTTCAAAGAGCCCTGCTCAAGCCCTGGGGTAGGCACACGGTACTGTCACCACCAGCATCCTCTGTGCTCTGCAGACAGGGGCCTCTGAAGGACCCCCCAGTCTGAAATGAGCCTGGATCAGCAAGTAGTTACGGGGAGGGATGCAAGAGGCATTGCTGTGCCTGGGCTTGATTTGCCTGGTGTTTAGTACCCGTAATTCATATAAAGAGTTTCATTGATATGACCAAGTGTAAAATCATTGAACCATGGAATGGTTGGAAAGGACCTTAAGGCCATCTAGTTCCAACCCCCTGCCACAGGCAGGGACACCTTCCATAGACCAGGTTCTCCAAGCCCCTGTGTCCAACCTGGCCTTGAACACTGCCAGGGATGGGGCAGCCACAGCTTCTCCGGGCACCCTGCGCCAGCACCTCAGCACCCTCACAGGGAAGAGCTTCTTCCTTAGATCTAACCTGGACTTCCCATTTCAGTTTGAACTCATCACCCCTTGTCCTGTCACTCCAGTCCCTGATGAAGGTCCCTCTCCAGCATCCTTGTAGCCCCCTTCAGACCCTGGAAGCTGCTCTGAGGTCTCCAGCAGCTTCTCTTCTCCAGGCTGAACAGCCCCAGTGTTCTCAGCCTGTCTCCATATGGGAGGTGCTCCAGCCCCTGACCATCCTCGTGCCCTCCTCTGGCCTTGCTCCAACAGCTCCATGTCCTTCTTATGTTGAGGACGTCACCTTCAGGCAGCGTGGCAACGAAACCATGTATTTTCTGTTCATTTCCACTGTATTTAACAGCGTGCTCATCATCTGCATGGGAGGAGGCAAGAAAGCAGCATTGCTTTTACTTATTTGGAGCAAGGAGATTATCCAGCCCTGACAGCTTCTCTGTGCACATGAAGCAGAACTGAAGCAACGTGTGCTGACCTTGATGCCTGAATTCTTAGAGGTGTGGTGTGCACTGCAGTAGCTAAAAGGGCTCTTAATGTAGCTTTTGTTTTGAAAATAGACTGATTCACAACTTGATGTGAGCAGGAGAAGCGGGAGCTGACTCTTTAATTGTGCTGCCACACATTCAATGCTCTTGAAATGACTTGCAAGCGCTGGTCTCCCGGGAGCTGTTGGGATGAATATCAGCTTGTGTCATGCTGGAAGGAGCCTTTCCCAGCTGCACAGTTGAAATGGCAAAAGTCACAATTTGCTCAGATCACAGGAGCTTTTAATTCCTCATTTAATACCAGGTTCCCCTGGATGTTATATTGCTTTTACCCTTCCTGCTGTACATGGGAAGGGCGAGGGCAAGGATCAACGCGCTTCCCCCAGCAGCGCTCAGTGGAAGGGGCTTTGGTGTTGGGTGTGAGCTGCTGTGTTCAGGCAATCCCTGTTTGGAGGATCCCTGCTTCCATCCTGCCTACAGGCTCCGTGTCTGCCTCAGGAAGTGAATTGCTGACCTGTCCACTGATTGCTGGGGTCAGGCTGATGCTGCTCTGAGCCGCGGGGCTGCGGTGTGCGGCTGGACCAGGGGAACTGCAGCATCAGCACATGCAGTTCCCTCTTGACTTGGGCTGCTTTTAGCCCACAGGGGCTGTTCTTAATCCCCAGACTGAACCATACCTGTAACAAATGACTTCTAAGGGGCAGTTGTCTGGAAGATTCCACAGCTTCCCATCTGTGCTGGGTATCTTGTATGAAGTTGTGGGTTGTTACCCTGGCTCTTTGCAGACCCCTCTCGGCAGCGCGGAGGCAGTAGGATGCCGCAGGCAGCACGGTGCTTTGTTCTGCCTGTCAGCTGCAGTTGTAAATCTTCTGTGGTCACAAACATCAGAGGATCTTGTGAAAACATGTTGCCTGTGAGCACCTCCTCTGTGAGAACTGGAGAACTGCTGGCATTTGGATCCAGCCATCTCGCTCTGAGCTTTTCGCTTGTCGGTTCCTATTTGAATCCTTTCGTTTTCTCTTCTCAGGTCACTTCACCTGGGAGAAATACCTGAAAGAAACATGTGCCATCCCAGCTCCTGCCCATTGCTTCAAGCAGGTAAGAGGGTGCAAAGAAGAAAGGACAAGGGTGATGGTGCCCTGCCTGGGTTAGGCCCCTTTTTTGGCAAGGAAGATGCTTAAGGTTGTCAGAGAATTGACAGAAATGCAAGTGTGCTGAAGCAAGGATAACAAAGATAGGTTTGGGCACTGCAAATGTTGGAGTAGCACAGAAGACTTTACTCTCAGATATGCATGGATGGGAATGTGAGAAAGTTTTCACTCTGCCAAGCACAGGCCCTTGGAGAAATGATTCTGGTGAATGGGATAGCAGCCCCTGGGCATCAGGTACTTGAGCACAGAGGTGGTTGTGTTGGGTACAGGGGATGCAGGAGGGAATCGGCACAGTACATGGTACACCTGGCTCTGGGTTTACCAGGATACTCCTCAGCTGCACTGAGGAGTTGTATCTGTTGGGTTGGCTGGGTGATTCCCCTGGGAAGAGGGCTATGAGGAAAGGGTAGGTCTGGTTATAGGGCTCACCAAACTTATTTTGCTGCTCTGTGGTGTCTGCTCCTGTGCTGTGCTTGGAGGATGCTGCCAGTCTCTGGTAGAACCAGTGCTGGTGCTCTCAGGGTGTCAGCCTCTGTATTGGAAATACCGAGTGAGTCCCTGTTTTTCTCTTTGCAGTCATACACTCCACCTGCAAATGAATTCAAGATCAGTATGAAACTAGAAGCCCAGGACCCCCGGAACACCACGTCCACGTGCATCGCCACAGTGGTGGGTCTGACGGGTGCACGCCTGCGCCTGCGCCTCGATGGCAGCGATAACAAGAATGACTTCTGGAGGCTGGTGGACTCTGCTGAAATCCAGCCCATAGGAAACTGTGAGAAGAATGGAGGGATGCTGCAGCCTCCACTGGGTGAGCTGGAGTTCAGCTGTCCACCGAGCACCCACATGATCTGTGGGGAAAACCCTGGGGGGTTTATGTCTCTGTGCCTGGGACAGAGACCCATGGGCTGCCCCTGTCTTCCACTGTGATATGGAGCAGCCCTGTTAGCTTGTTAAACATGTATCCCACACCAGGTCTGTATTTCCACGTGGACACTGTGGCATGGATAAGGAGATGCTTTAGAGTGTAGATGAAAGAGCTCTTTACACCTGGGTGAGCTGCCTGCACTCTTTGCTGCTCAAGCTCAGGATAAGCACATGCTGACTGTGCTCTTATGCTTTCTGAAGCTATCCCTGTGTACCTCAAAGGAAAAACGTTTCCATGCATTTGTGGGAAAGAATGTCAAAGCCACTCTGATTCCTAGAGGACACACAAGCAATGGGAGGGCACCCCAAAGTCCTTGGTGACCCAAGGGTGTGGGTGGTAGTGTTGAAGGCAGAGCAACCATGATGGCCTCTCCTGGGTAACTGCCTGTATAAGGACAGAATGAATCCAGGTTCTCCTTTCCTGGGAGACACCACACAGGGCTGGCACATGGCTTGGTCTCTGGCCACTGCCCATTGCTCTGGGCTTCCAAGTGCTGTCATCTCCAAGGTGTGCTTGGCATGAACTGGGTGCCATCCACCAGTGTGCTCCCCTGCGCTCCCCGTCGCGCTCAGCACGGGGCTGGTGTCTGGTGGAGCTGCTTTGCTGGGGACCTGTGAAACCTGAGGTAGAGAATACCCAAGAGAACAGTTAGGGCTGAGGCATCTGCTGGGGCACTGCTGATCCTGGCACTGATTTCAAAAGCATTGCAGTTTTCATTCATGCTGTCTAAGGGTATTTGTGCCCAAGTGCCTTTGGGTCAATAGGAGGTCAGCTGGGGACCACGTCATGGGGAAACAGAATGTCTGACAAGGTTCCCAGTGATTTAAGTCCTGTGTCATGTGAAGAGACACTTGTAATATTTCATCTCTTTCTTCATGTAATTTTACTTTGCTGCAGCTTTGTCACTAATGTGGACAGTCAAATGCTTCTTCCAGTCTGGTCTTTGGGTGAACACTTCTTCTCCTTCTTTTTGACACTGGCCAAATGAGGAGCTCATCTGCTGGTTCTTCCCTGATGAAGCACCAAACTCAACCTGCTTTTGCATCCTGCTGCCCATTATTTGTGAAGTGTCTTCATAAATCTCTCTCAGTTAGCACATCCCCAAATAAGATCAAGCTGATCTATAATGATGCAGGAAACCTTCAGTGAGACACCTGGAATTAGGGATATTTTTAACCACGTTTTTCCATGGAGCACCATTAGTGAGCTTTATGGAAGTAACAGCCTGAACTGCAGTGGGACCCTTGGGACTGACCTTTCTGCAGAAGGAGGGAACATCAGCAGATGTGTGTTCTGGTACATCCCACCACATGAAGCTGTGTGTGTGCAGGTCCTTTGCCTTCATAATGGCTACAGGCAGAACCTGCTGCAGCTCTGAACATCGAAGCTGCCAGTTTTGATGTTAATTCCATGCATGTTGCTGTGCATCTGCAGACATCTCTTTGAAACTTTGGTGCCAGGGAGCAGCCTGTGGCCTGCCCACCTCCTGTGGGTACCTGTCCTGCCTGGCAGCCGTGGTTCCTCTATGCCTTGCCCGGCTTTTGCCAGCAGATGGCAATAAGGGTGATGGAGTTGCTGAGCAGAACTCATTTCTGACTGTGCCAGAGGAGAGGGTTCGTGCTCTGTGTGCCCAGCTCTGACCTGCTTAACCTTGGGCCAGGCTAGAATCCCAGAATCCCAGGTTGGAGGAGACCTCAGGGACCAGCTAGTCCAACCTTTACAGTCAAAACATGTCCTAGACTAGATGTCCCAGCACCCTGTCCAGTCAGATATTAACAGTGAACAATCCACCACTTCTCTGGGGATCCAGTGGCTGATTGTTCTCATGGGGAAGAATTATGTCCAATTGGAATCCCCCCTGGATGTTGTGTTGTGGCATTTCAACCCTGGCAAAGCTTTGCCATGTCACTCCCCATGGGATGCTCTCCATCTAGGTCCAGGCCCAGGGTTACCTTCAAACCAGCACAAATAGAGACAGTGCAATGCCCTGCTCAGCTGAACAGCAGAAACTGCTTCTGCAGGAAGATGCATATTGAGCAAAGAAGGTGGTTTGTGATACCTGGTTGTGCAGTTGCACTCGGGGCCATAGCCCAGAGCATGTGAATTTGCTTTTTTCTTCCCATAAGCCCCTTTCTGCTACTTCTGTACTTTTCTTCACAGACAGTGTTGAGCCAAAAGCTGCCATTCTTTCCTGTAATGGTTAAACCTGTTTCCCAGCCAAGCCACAGCCTCTTCATTTAGTCAGGTCAGCTTGCCTGCAGCTCACTCTAAATGTGGAGCGGACCACCCAGGAGCTGAGATTCCCTATGGAGGAAGAAATTCCATAGTCAGAGTGTGCACTTGCTGATTCATGTCTCCCTGTAGCAGGAACACTGAGGCTGCCAGCACTAGTGCTGCACAAAGCTCTCTGCCTGCATGGGCAATGTACAGACTTGTGTTCCCAGCAGAATATTGCAAACAGCCATCCTCAGGGGCTTCTTTTCAACAGCACCATGTTTGGTGTGCAGAGCATCTGGAAAAGATCACATCTCACTCTCCATCATGAGGAGGAGGGTGGTGTGTGATCACAGTGGGTGCCTGCTGCAAAGGTCCCATCCCAGCAGGCATGTGCTGCTGGATCCAGCCTTTAAAAAGCCTCCATCTCTGCTTCCTCCCCTGCAGGCTTTCGGCTGAATGCCTCCTCTTGGCCCATGTTCCTTCTGAAGACTCTGAATGGAGCAGAGATGGCTCCTGTCCGGATTTTCCACAAGGTATTGCAGTGTTTGTGAAGACCCCTTTCTGCCAGGGCCCCTTTACTGCAGAGCACCGAAGTCACAGCTGGTGTCTCACCAGAGGAGGTGAACAGTGCCCAGCTTTGCCCTGCTGCTGCTTCTCTGGGACAGACCTGTACCCTCTGTGACTGCATCACAGCAGTGTCAGGATGCAGACAGGGGTCTGCTAAGAAAGTATCTTGGGTTTCAACACTCAGGCTTGAAAGATGGGCTTGTTTTTCACTTGGGCTGCAGGTGCTGTCCAAGTCAGGAGTGCAGTATCTGAAAGTCAGCACCTCTGTGAAACCTTTTAATGTACCAGAGCTTGTGAGGAGGGCAAATACTGCAGTGAGGCCACACTGCAAGTATGGGTTTGTAGTTTGTAATCTCACATCTTTAGTCAGAGAGCTACAGAAGCCATTCTAGAGGCTTGTGCTGTGCTATGGGATGGTTGGTGTGGCTTTAGTGTATCTCAGGTGTAAAAGACAAGGAGGAGCAAGCCCCAGAGAAGGCTGGGTGGCAGATCTCTCACATGTCTAGCAGAGCTGCAGTTTGGGGAAGAATGACAGAGAATGACTCTTACATCTCAAGTTTTCCTGCTCTGAGATAAAAAGGTGAGAGTACCAATAGAGGATCTTTACTTTGGAGCTTTACTTTCTGTCTCTGCTGCATGGCAGGGGTGTCACAGGGTGCAGTGTTAATGTAGCACTGTCTGGGTTTGGTCCAGCAGCAGGGTGGTAGCAGAGCAGTCAGCAGTGAGCTTCATTGCCTCTTGACTTGTAGGGAATGTGGTTGTGGAGTTAGGCCAGCACGAGCACACCTAATTGGGGTTCAAATCCAGCCCACTAGCTCTCTCCTTCATCTGCTCCTGGAGCGGGGTTTGCTGATGGAGGGGACAGCCCTGGCATATCCCCTTTGAGCCCATTTTCAACTTCTCCTTCTAGGAACCACCATCTCCATCCCAAAACTTCTTCAAGACAGGTATGAAGCTGGAGGCAGTGGACAGGAAGAACCCTCACTTCATCTGCCCGGCCACCATTGGGGAGGTGAGAGGTTCTGAGGTCCTCATAACATTTGATGGCTGGAGAGGTGCCTTCGATTACTGGTGCCGATATGATTCCCGGGACATCTTTCCCGTAGGCTGGTGCTCGCTGACTGGAGATAATCTGCAGCCCCCTGGAACAAAAGGTAAGGCCCACGTTGTTGCTTAGGTGTCTTCCTCCTCCATTCACCTCTCAAACAGCAGCAAACCAGGCAGAGGCTGGCACCAGGGACACCTGGGTGCCCTGTCTGGCTCCCTTAACGCCGCTTCCTTGGAGGCTTTCCTGCGCCTTTGGAACACACGTTCCAAGGGAGTTTTCCACAGGGGGACTGAGCTATTTGTGGATAAAGTGAGGGAATAATGAGAAGTATGAAGCTGCAGGACTGTTTGTACATGTGACACGTACGTGTGACCGTACCTGTGACTGTGACCTTGCTCTGCCTTGTGCTGTGATCTCTGCTGGGAACATGGGAAGCACAGGTCTGGTTGGGTTGTACTTGCCTTGTTCCTAGAGCTGTGATTATTGCTTTGGAATGGTGTTGAGGAACTTGCAGAGGTCTGGGCATTGGCTGTGGAGGTTTTCGGATGTGTGTTTAGCTTGCTAGCACTGCAGTTGCATTTAGGACCAGGGAATTGTCATTGTCCCCATGCTCATGCCTCTGCCTGGCAAACCCACCACATGCCTGACAATGAAATGAGGAGAGCAGCCTGTCTGCTGGAGCTGAAGGATTACTTAGGAAAGGCATTTCTCTGATGAGACTGTTCCTTGTAAAACTCCAGGGTCAGCTTGTGCTGACCCATCAGGCTGGTGCTTTCCTGCTGTCCCTCGGTGTGAGCCAGCGCTGTTCTCTGTGCTGCAAGGCTGTCTCGGGCTCCCCCCACATGGGGATGATTCTGTTCTGGCTGGGAACTGATAGGCTGTTGCTGTTTATCTTGGATTTCTGCATTTAGCCTTGATGTTCCCAGCCTCTCCCTCACTTCCTGCTGGTTGGTTGCATCCTGCCCTGTGGGCTCCACAGAGCTGCTGGGGACCTCCCGTGGCTGCCCTCTCCAGCACTGCCCTGGGGTCACCCCCAGCATCTCCAAGGTGCTTCTCAGGTACTGCCCAAAAGACTAAAGACATGGTTGTGATGGGTGGGAGCTTTCCTGGCACTAAATTGAGGGTGGAAGAGTCCAGGAGCAAGGTGAAAACTGCCTTCCTAGGAGAAGCGGGAACCTTGGTCTGACCCGCAGCACCCAGCACAGGCAGCTCCTCTCCAGCCTCCCTGTGCCAGGGGCTGTAAGTGAGCAGAGCATCCAGAAGAAGGAACACTCCAGAGCAGGGCAACACTGTGGTAATTTTGAGCCATCCTGGAAGTATTTGCTTCCCCCCTTGGCAGGCAGCAGTGACTCTCCCTCTTGCACTGGCTCCACCAGCAGTGATTCTGCAGTTCCCACTCATCTACTAAAGGAGTGAACCCCAAAAGTCACATCTCCCCACTCCCAGGCAGAGGCTCTCAGGCAGGTTTCTGCTCTCCTGGTTGTGTTATTCAAGTCCAGAGGCAAGAGCAGGAATTGCAGAGATTGTATGAGCCATGCAAAAATGCCGTGGAGTCGGGATCAGCTTTGGCTTCGTGGTATTTTCCTTTCCTCTCTGTGGCTGCCCCCTCCCTTTCCTGCCTCAGACTTTCCAATTCCCACTCTGTGGGATTAAACCAAATGAAGGGAGCACTGGGAACTTCCCTTGTCTGTAATTAAGTTCCTCCCTGTTCCTTTACCTCTCAGCCCTGCTTTGGAGGAGGGTTGAGCACAGTCCTCCCAGGACCTGAGAGTGCTGCTCTTAGCAGGCTTGGAGGATGCTTCACCGCAAAGGGATCCCCCTTCCCTCCAGCTCCAACAAAGCTTCCTTGTGTGCCAGCCTGGAGCCTGCAGGACCATGCAGTGGAGTTAGGCAGGTTCCCATTCCTGGCTGGAATTCCACCTAAACCAGGGAGACCTGGGGAGACACACAGGAGGTCAGTGCTATGCCTGGTTATTTCAGCTCTGCCGATGGGCGCGAGGTGCTTGGGGGAGCTGAGATGTCCTGTGAAGAGTTAACTCCATGGAGACTGATGGTTTCCTGGGGCTGAGCGAAATAAGCTCTTGATCAAGGGAAGCAGAACTTCAAAGAGGCCAGGCATGTTTATTTAATGCTGGTAACTTAATTCAGCTCTAATCTGTCCCTTCTGCTGGCTGCCAGCAGTGGTGGACGAGCGCAGGGCTTCTCCAGGCATCTCCCCTCTCCAGCTGTGGGGCCTCCCACTCCCACCAGTGTTTGCTTTGCTGGGCAGGGTGCTGGTGGAGCTGGGGCCTGGCCAGCCAAGCCGAGGGGAGCTTTCCTGAGGACACGTGTGTGGAGGGAGAAAAGGGAGGTCAAGCAGCGAGGAGGAGCAGCTCTGCCTGCCAGGTTGGTAATTACATGGCTGTCAGATGTGCTCTGCAGTGGCTGGCGGCCAGATGGCTGCAGGCTCCTGGGTATCTCCTGCAGCTCCTCTTTGTGCAGCTCTCCCTGGAGCTGCAGGGTTCAAATAAACCCACGCTGCAGAGGAGTGTAGCTCCGGGGGTGCCTACACCAGCAGTCAGTCCTGCTCCTCTCTGCTCCACGTCGGGCTGGGGTTGGAGGTGGGCTCTGCTGGGCTCCCGGAGCAAGGTGAGATGTGGCAGGGCTTGGCCTGTGCATCCTCAGCCTTTCCATGCCAGCCAGGCTGCAGCTGGGGGAGGCAGGGGGTAGGAACTAGATGATCTTAAGGTCCTTTCCAACCCTAAGTATTCTATGACCATCCCAAAGGGAGGAGGTTTCTGTGGTGAAAGCTTCCTCTTGACTTTGGATGGGCTCTTGACAGAGCCCATCCATGCCAGTGCCACGCTCCCGGGGCTCTTAGCAAGGAATCACCACTCCTCACCTGTAGTGTACAGCATCTTGTATGTCTTTTCATGCCACTTACCTGAAACACATATCCTGGGCTTTTAGGAGTATAAGGTGAGGGGGTTGTCCTATCAAACCAGGTGCTGGTTGGCAGCTTTGAGCTCTGCTCCATGGGCAGGCTGTGCTGCTGATAGTCTCTGCAGTTACCTTGCAGAGGAGATGCTCAGGACCTGTAGGTTCACTTCAGGGTTTTAGAAATTGGAATTCCAGGGGCTTGGAACTGGGTGAGCTTTAAGATCCCATCCAAAGATCCCAAACCAGTCTGGGATGCTGTGATTGATTCTGCTCAACCATGTTTTGAACATCACTGCTGGATGGCAAGGAAATACTGTGACCTGAAAAACAAGGATGCAGGGATACAGGCAGCCTGCACAAGCACACGTGTGGCTGTCAGAGTTAGTAGTAACTCAGAAGGTCCTTGTACCATTCCTCCGTTTGGACTATGCCTTGGCAGGGGGGTTGGACTAGGGGACTCCAGAGGTCCCTTACAACCCTTGTGATTCCGTGATGCTGAGCTCCTCTGGAGTTCCCTGGTGGGTTCATTACACCCGTTACATTGATGTCCCACCCTTGTGGGTGCTCACACCAACAGAGCATCATGAGGGGTGCCCCGTGCTGAGCCGGGCAGCAGTGAAAGCGTTAAGGCCAGGCAGGCAGAGCTGGGAGCAGCTCCAGCACTGGAATTTGGAGGAGTAGAGTTGCTGCCTTGGCCAGAGCCTAGCTGGCGAGAGGCCCTGGCTGGGATGTGCCAGGGGAGCTGATGGGGAGGTGATGCAGGGCCTGGCTGGGCCAGGGCTGCCGGGCAGCCACAGCAAGGGCAGAGCAGAGCCTGCTGCTGCGTGTGGTCAACACCAGGCATGTCCCTCTGCTCTGAGCACACTGCTGCTGTCAGCACACTGCTGCCTGCGCCTGGCTGCCTCCAGAGCCTGCCCCTCCCCTTGCAAAGCCCAAGTGAGGAGTTTTAGATAGTTACCATGGGGATGTGTTGAAGTGGAGCTCGCATCCGCTCCCAGACTCGCATCCGCTCCCGACTGTTGCATGTGTTACACAGCCCAGAGGCTGGAGCCTGCCCTCACACAGGGGGGTGAGAGAGGGGCACAAATGCTGCCCCTGGGTAGGAAGTTCATGAAGTTCTTGAAGTTCTTCATCTCTCACCTCTGCTGCTGCCATGTGATGTGCTGGTTAAGTGCTTGGCATCTTCAAGTGGAGATGGTGATTGGATGCTAAGACTTTCTCTGCCCATGGGCAAAGGTAATGTGTATTTTATGACTTTATTTCTGATGTTGCTTGGTTTCTCTTCCTCCCTCGGGGCGAGGACACGGTGGTGGGTGGAGGAGCCTCGTGAGGAGTAGCTGGCAGGGGAAGGCTCAGGTGAGCCCTGTGCTTTACAGCTTGAAGGAGATGGGGAGATACTCATTACTGTCACTTCAGGACTGAGCTGGGAGCTGGAGCTCATCCATCAAGCTGTGTGATGAGTGGTGGTGTTGGGGTGGCTGGAGTTGGGAGCACACAGGTCGAGCTTAGGTACCAATGGTGGGAGAAGGTTGCACAGAGAAGTTGAGTATTCTCTCTTGTAACTGGGAGTCCAATGCACGTGCAGCCATGGAAGAGCCCAGGAAATAGCCCTTGAGCTGTTTGGAGCACAGAGCTGAGGTGCTTATCCTGGCTTGGGTGTGTGTCCTGGACTCCCTGTTGGCTGCGGAGGTCTGGGGCCCAGTGCTGCAGGAGAGTTTGCTGCTCCCCAACCCGCTTTGGATGCTGGTGGTACCTGTGGCTCAGCACACAGCAGATCTGGGGCTCAGCAGGATCTTGGGCATGTCAGAGACCTGATGTTACTGTGGGGATGTCTTGGGGCTGGAAAGAAGCTCCAAGAAGAGGGGCTGCCCTGGGACAGGCAGTTTCCACCATCCTCCAGCCTGTCCTTCATATGAAGTGGTATCCCAGCTTGGCTTTTCCTCATGTGTTTTATTCTGAAGTAGTTCATAACCCACAGGTTATGAATCTCTGTATTCAGGATGTTTCCTTCCCTTTTCCATTCCACTTCCTGGTCTGAAACAGGGTTTCAGAATCTCAGGATGTTCCTGAGTCCTGGCAGGACGTTTCTATAGGAGCCTCACTGTTGAAGCCTCCTCCCTTTGGGTGAACAGCACTGGGGTCACTGCCCCATTTCTGCAAGATCTCTAATCTTCTGCTGATGGGACG